TTTCAATCAAAAATCACATCTTTTTGGGAAAATGAACGTATTTTTGACTGCTTTGTAGTCATTCGAGAGCATAAAAAATGCCAATTTTGACAAGAGGCTTGATTTGTGAAAAGATCACCACAGGACGTTCTGCTAACGAACAAATAACATCTTGTTTTCGGAGTGCGTAGTTTCAAATCACGCAGATTTTTTTGGTACTGTAAAACAAGAAAGCTATACTAAGAAAACTTTTTTCATTCAACCTCTTTTAGCGGTGCTATGATGTTATAGATATACCCAGTATGTCACATCACTGTACATCACTGCTATGAGAACATTGAATATTACTGGAGGGACTTCTATAAACGCATTTCTAATGAGAATCATACCCACCTGCTGCTTACCTCGTGACAAATCAACATGGGATCAACGGACTAGGTCCGCCAGACATCTTAAAAACCTTTCAGTTGCATCCCAGAAATTCGAATCAAGTCTTGCATGCCAGCCATGCGAAGAAGTGAGTGCTTTTTCCAGTTGTTGCTCCATATTAGACTGATGAAAAAGCAAAGCGGTATCTTCGTAAACTTCAAATTACAATAACTTGGCTCAAAATCATCTTTATTGATCAAAAGAAGAACCATTACAATCAACACATTTTTGCCAGCGGGGAGTGAATTTTTATTTACTCCTGCAACATAAAATCGGTGCCACAGTATGTAACGAACTCGGAGACCTTTTTCTGCGTCATGTTGCTTGTGGAAGTGTTTTCCCTGCAAGAACTAATCGAAATACTTGAAGAAATGATCGTCGGTGGTCCCGACGTCAAGGAATATGGAGGATGAGGCAAAACTTCGTAGCACAATTGTTAGACATTTGGAGCGTTCATTGTGCGACATGTGGCTGCCAAGTGGCCATAAAAAGCGCATTACTTTTGCATCAACCTAATATAGTTCATAAATATGACTGAAGGACAAAGCTTAGACGTTGAACAGTCTTGAGTGATGCGCCATTGATCCTATCAAGTGTCGCCCAAATGTGACTGAACAGATATCTGCTTTTGCAGTGCATAAAGGTAGTCTGATGTTGCATCAGTCCAGTACTGCGCTTTTCTCAGAGAGGTCCGGTGTCAGTTTTCTCACTACTGAGGCATCCAAGACATAGTGATTTTGAGGGTTCAACCAATGGCAACGTACCTATCCTAGGAGCGACTCTAAAGACTTAAGCGTGTCCATGCACACAGATTTTGCATTAAACTAGGTTTTCTAGGTATGTCTACTTTCAACTGTTGGCCAATGTTTTACCGTATATAAATGCTGCTGGTATGTTTGTGTTTAATCTAACAGATTTTTCTATGTAGACTCATTTAAGAGTTAAATAGTCAAATCTAGCAGAGATATCTATTCAAAAGTTATAAATTCCAATATAATAGATTGATCTGAGATTTATATAGTAGAGCTTATCAATTTTTCAGGGAATTGGGTACTGTACGCAGTGTTGAACTACGATCTTCGAAAGCACATCTACACTAGGCCACACCATCGATTTCATTTGCTATCCCTCTCTAACGTATAGAAAACTGGGAAACAATCAGTTCAAGTACACAAGTGACTTTCTCATCGGCATGATATCAGGAGAAAGAAGTGAACGCTTGATTGAACTACCTTGTCATCAAGCTTACATTGTAAAAATTACCGCTACTTTAATTTATTTTTAGCTGAAATGATAAAGCGGGTATTCCTTTTTCATCTGTCATGCGTGCTGTTTTTATTTTTGTTCAAAGTTGACAAAATGTTGGTTCAAGGAAAAAACAACATTAACACTCTGTAGCGAAATTCGCTTATTTCCAAGTAACACTCAGCTCAAAGAAGAATTTGTTGCTGCGGATTTCAATTCACTATTCGTCATTAATTCTTAACACATTCAAGAAGTAGTAAAAATGATCAGTTTGAATTCTTAGTTCATGTTTCTTCACAGGTATTTCCTATATAACTTCAAAATCCTCAAGCTCATAAGTAAATAGGATTTGTGATCCATGCATATTCAGAAAGTATCCATTATGCATTGTAAACATAATAAAACATACAAGATACAACAGGACCTTCAACATCACGTTGCTTGCCTCTCACATAGTTGGCAGCAGGCCATTCTCACAATGTGAAGGTTGTACGTTCGAGTCTCACAGGGACTGCGTTTTACACGTTGTCCTGCGTCTCCTTTCGACTTTTAAGTGTTCTAGTACTCCAGAGTTAGATTTTCTTGCATATTATCAAGTTCTTTATCTAGAAAGTCGAGACCACCGACCATAACGTAGAATTTTATGAAATGAAAATACTGGTGGTATGTTTTCGATTGGTTGACGATGACGGGTCAAAATCATATCATGAAGGTCGACAGTTTCAGAAGTATCAAGGAGCATATACTTTGCACGTCGCACAATGTTTCCGCTCCACATATAAATGTTATCCTGTTCCATCTAGATTTTTTGTATGTCATCGTGTTCTTATTGGAAATGTCAACGTTTCCTTTCGTGCAATAATGAGAATAAAACAAAAGAAGCTCTGAACAAAAATCCGTGTGCAATCGGAGTGCTTTCGTAAAGCAAACGGATGCGCCTCAGTCTCATAATTTAAAGGTTGTGACTTTGAGCCTTAGTGATTGAGAGTCTTCTGTATGGTGCTGTATTTTTTACTCAATGTCTATTTCCGCAGTACCGCATGTAATGAAAGTAAAGGACATCAACACAAGCATCACATGCAATATAAGTGCTTTTGTACACGGTCGGAGTGCGTTAGTCGTATAATTTCAAGGCCATGAATTCAAGCCTCACCGGGATCAAGTGTTTTGCATGTTCTCGAGTGCTTTATTCAGATCTCCAGAGCCACTTTTCGTGACAGTTGTAGTGAAACGGAAAATATAGGTACATGCGCTTCCGTGAGCTTCTCAAAACAATAAGGAGAGATTAACATGTACGGACTATAAATACAGCAGCTCGTGACACTATTGAAGCGCTTGCACTGCTCAATCTTTAGTTGACCCGCTAAATAGTCCGTACAAAGGAGAGCCGTGATAAAGACACGGCGGCGCACGTTGTCATGCTATTGCCTTCATGTTCAAAGTAGAAGCATGGGTAACTGATCTTTATCACTTGACTTAGATATATCGGTGATTGTTTAGCCATCTGATCCATACACGCGAAGATGGGCAGACGATTTGATTTGTTGAACGCACAGTCAGAATGCATGAAATTCACCAATGGAATATTAAGAAAAACTTACCTCTATTTCCGACTAAGTCATACATTCCTGCCGCATTGCCACTGGTATCGAACGAATAACAAAAATATCCCGTTTCATCATCTCCCCTCTCACATTTCGTGTACAGGGCAATTGTGAAAACATGTTCCGAGCGGCAGCCAGTGTGTGTACCAAGAAAGAGGAAAGGGTATAATTCTCAAATTTGCCTTGGGAAATAGCCATTTCCTGCTTAAGAAAATTTATCTCATCACGATAGGTTTGGATAAATTAATATGCTTTGGAGTGATAATTCCAGCGAGAGAAAAAATCCATAATCATGCCCTTCTTCAGAGGAAATTAGGAAAAGTGCAAAATATGATCTAAGGGTGAAAACAGATTACATAAGTACGGGCACATTAATCTTTTGTAAAGCCTACGGTAACAAGTACATCAACGACATGGCTAAACCCCTGTTGTATCAGCATGAAAGAGCACTTGACACTAAGAATAACTCTAAATCAAATTTTTTTGTTAGACATGCATAGAACATGGACGCACATCGGAGATAATTTTGGAAGAGAAATCACCATCCTCGCACAAGAACATAAAACATGAGCGCGTAAGATTGCAGAAGCATTTTGGATAAATACCACTAGTCCAGGCTTAAATCTCAGGGTGAGGTGCTCCGTTATCACACGCGATATGACGCAGTGCAGAAGACTCACTCTGATGTGGGAGGTACTTTAAGCAGTCCATATAATCTTAACACGCTTGGTCTCTATCGATCAACTCGTTGAAAGACTAATAAAAAAAATACTCAAGATATCTATTACTTTAACTGCGTTTCTCGCAGTGTTATGATGTTTCGTTTATACCTCAGAAAACTGAGTGATGAGCAAAAACACGACCTCAGGTGGGAATCGAACGCGCATTCCATACTATCCAGGGACGCATGCTCTACAACTACACGACCGAGGCACAATTGCTCCACCACTAATTCTTCAGCATCTCTATGTTAGCTATCAGCCACCAAACTTTAACAGGCTTGGTTGGGTGTGCGATTTCGCTTTATAGACCACTTGAGCTGACAGCCATTGTAATAACTAGTACTCGGAATTTCTATTATTCTAACTGCATTTTTCGTATTGTTATGATGTTTCGTATATACCTAATAGGTACCCTTCGTATATACCAGGTAGCTAACAAGAGATGATGAAGAATGTGTGGTGGTGTAAATGTGCCTCCGTAGTGGTAGAGCACGCATCCCCGGATAGGATTAAACGCGGGTTCGATTCCCTCTTAAGGTCGTGTTTTTGCTCATCACTCAATTCTCTTAGGTATATAGTAAAAAAACTGGTGATAGTGTTGAAGAACTTGTTTTGCACAATCTAAGCTTGACGAGTCTTTCTCTCCCAGTTATGAAAGCGTTTGACTAACACATTTGAAAGCAGTATGATTTTCACACTCTGAAGAAGGCGAAATAGCCGAAACGTCAGCTTTCATATTATGCTATATTACACCAACCTCGTGCTTAGCTTGCAAAGAAAAAAATAAGGAATTAATTAGATGCTCCCACACCAGGAGCTTCCGTGGCGCAGTCGGCAGCGCGTCAGTCTCATAATCTGAAGGTCGTGAGTTCGAGCCTCACCGGGAGCAACCGTTTTGCAAGTTCTCATGTTCTTTGTTGAGATAAGAAAAAGTCGATTTAATGGATCAAGGTTTACTTCTATGTTAGTGACGAAATGAAATCGAAAACTATCTATACGTGTATGAGTAGGCAATAAGCGTGCCTCTCTAGCGAAGTCGGTAAGGAGTCAGTCTCATAACCTGAAGGGCGTGAGTTAAAGTCTCACTGGTAGTCGGTGTTTTTAACGTTTCCTTGTCTCTTATCGAATTGACAATGCTTAGTTTTGTAGCAGTGATTGTGCTGAAACAGATAGGTGGCGGGTCAGTCTTATAAGTTGAAGGTTGGGTATCCTAGCTTCGTCATGATCAAAAGCTTTGCACATTCTGGTGTTCTTTGTTAAGATAATTAAAAATTACCTCGTGGTGGTGGTGATTAATGTAAAGTCGAAAATATGAACAGCTGATGAGCAGACATTAGGCGTTCCTTCGGAGAGCAATCGGTAGGGCATCTCTTATAAGTTGGAGGGCGTCACTCCGATCCCTACCGAGCGCAAGTGTTTTGTATGTTTTCGTGTTGCTTATTGAGATAGCCATAGCTTATTTTTGCTGTAGCGATTATAACCAGAAGGAAAAAATAGCACAGTGTAACACCGTAGCTATCGCGTAAGTCTTATGGCCTGAGATCCTATAGTCATCATCACGATCAAGAGTTTTCTTTCTTCTCTTGTCTGTACTAAGCAACTCGGTTTGCTTTGATGGCAACAAATGTATGAAACGAGCACTCGTGCTGTTCGATAGTGCATCAGTCGTATAACCTGGAAGTCACGAGCTCAAGATCTACCGTTGGCGAACGTTTGCACGTTTTCTTGCTCTTTATTGAGTTGTGAAAGCTTTCCTTTAAAGCTGAGAATGTAAAAAACGGAAAAATGTCAACTCATATTTGAGCAAATATCAAACATTCTTCAGTGGCCAATCGGTAGTGCGTGAGTCTCATAATGTAAAGGTTACGAATTCGAGCATTGTCCGGAACAGTCTATTGCACGCTCCCTTGTTCCTTCAAATAACGAAAGACTACTTTTATGGCAATGACTCTCACAAAATACAACAAAATCCATGCACGTATCAGTGTAAAATTAGCCTTCTTCCATTGTGGTGTCAGCAAGTCACCGGTTATCATGAGAGTTCAGATCAGGTTGAGATTAAGTTTTAACGAGAGTGAATGTTTTGCAGATTGTCGTCATCTCCAATCAAGGCATGGCCACGTAGCAGCGGATGTATTGGTGCACAAAGTGTGCTTCCACTGTTCGGTAGCGTGCCGGCCTCGTTACGCGAGCATCATAATTTCGAAGCTCTCCGGAAATTAAGTGTTTTGAGCGATGGAATTGTCTATTTTTCAAAACCATATTCTTTGTTACATTTGGATTTTTTTTTATGACTCAGTTCCAAAGTAGTACTTCATCGCCGTATCCAAACCCTGACATTTACTTGAAGCTCTGAAATATGTCCTCATAAATGGCTAATACGATTGCTTACGAAGTTGGACATTTTTTTCTAGCTGAACCATGTCGAATCTACGTTGTCTTTCGTCCACTTTTGATTGCCTCCACCACTCTCTGAACAAATGAGATTCCTTTGTGGCCACAATTTCTCTTCCAAAATTTCTTCTTCATCATTTGAAACGCACAGACTTTCTTCCATTACGAACATAATTTCGTATTTTTTCTCCGTTATTTTGATCAGTTATTTTAGTTTCCCGTATAACTTCTTCCATTCAAATTTCAATGAGTAAAATTAAGCTTAGCGCATATTTAACCCAATTACGACGACATGAGCATTGCAATGTCTTGAATGACTTCCTGAACTTCTCTTATAAGCCATATGTTCTCCGGTGTTTTATTTTGCAGTGCAAAATCCTCCACTACATATTTTGAAGCGGATCGGTGGCTAAGATGACACGGATATCGTGGTGAGGGTGGGGACACGAAGAGCATATAATTTTTTTTAACACTGTTCCTCATATGTGTGTATCCACTGGTAATTCAACTGACAATCGACTCCTACTTTATTTCTGGTCGGTATTATATATTATGGTTGTTATATACTATGTGTTTTATACATATATACATGTACACATCTATTTAACAATGTCCATACATATACGAGAGCGCCGTGGCTGAGTAGTTGCGATGCTCATAGTGGCACGCGTGGAGCCGTTTCCCAGTCACCAGTATTCTCCGGCAGTCAACAACGAACGCTCGATGAAAAGCCACAGCCAGTCTATCCCTGAGATTACAACGCAAGAATACGAGCTTAGTCTATATTATAAGACGTACATAAAGATGACGAAAGAAAGAACTGAGTGGTAGAATTACTGAAATCTGTATTGTGAAAAAGCAGATGAAGACAGATCAAATAAAACTGGCAAAATATATATATATATATATATACTCAAAAATACGTACAAGAATAAGCAGAGTATGAAAGCCTTACCAAATCCCTTTATCGATATGTTTACATGATCGGCCATAGTAACAATGGCAAATAGTAGTTTATACACTAATCATACCTCAAAAACGATAGAGCAAGGTTTCTGCACAGCAAGTTATTTTCGCAGACCCTGAGGACTCTAGTTATGGGAAAAATGCTGGCTAGTTTTGAAAAACGAATTCTTCAATGGTTGAAAATTCGTCGTCGCCCTTTGCGGCAAACAGTGCAATTTGAAGCCGTCACAAATGGGTGAGAGACGATTTTTCCCCTCATCCCTCTCGATACACACATCCTCATAGTTCCCACAGATACTTATCAGTCTTCAGGGGCAACGAAAATATCAGTAAAGATTATAAAACCTACTATCAGTGGAAATCATAAAGCCTTCAAAGCGAAAATAGGTTCCGTTCCCGAGAGAAAGCGTCTTTCGCATCACCGAGAAAAAAAAACCGTTTTTAATTGACAATTTGGCGAACTGCACAGTAATGCGACCAAAGTTTTGACATTGTGTAAAATGTCAATTGGACGTATTTGATTTGACAAAAGTGTAAAAATACACCATATATAGACGAAGAATAAATTTTCCAAAAGGACTGCCAATTCTTCGTATTCCGATGCTATTCAATAAGTAGTAAACTCTTATCTCGACTCCTAGTGAAGAAGCATAACATATCTCTTTTTGAACAATAATTCCTCTTCAGCTGTGCCGAGAAGCAGAATATTTCCATCTTTCCACAACTGGACTCGAATCTAACTTGCAGTTACTGGCAATGATATCTCAAAGATAATCCCAAATGTGTAACATAAAATAGAGTCCTTGTAAATAGTAAGGCTTTAAAGCTTAGTATACTTTGTAACTTGCTAAATTTCTTCCAATTCAAAAATCAATAGACATTTTGCTACGTTCGTCAGATACTTGATAATTCTGCAGCATTCCTAAAGCTGGAAAATTTCTCATACCTATACTGTCTTCAATGTTAGTTCTCCTGCTGTGTCTACAAGGTAAGAATATTTTGTTTTTTTTTTGTGTTTCAATGAGCATTACTAAAGTGCTAGTGACTACTAGTGTTTATATATATCGTACCTTTCCTTTCGAGTGTTTTCTCAAGACTACGCTCGAATTTTTTCTACGGTACCAGCCAAGAACAATCCAGTGTACAACACTGACTCTTCAGTGATATCTCCACTGAACAGACAATGCAAATGTTCGTCGTCGCCTACTCTTAATACGGAAAACTGATGGGAGAGGATTGGCAAAAGACGAAAGAATACTTCCCGACTGATGAGACTGTCAAGATCGAAACACATGTATCGGGCTCTATAAGTCAGCCCTTTATGACAGACCACATGCGTGGCTCAAAAAAAAATTGGTATACTAGTGTTTAGTGGCAGAGCGATTCTTATGTAATTGAGTAAAAAATTGACTAGTATCCGTTCGATGATGATAGTTTACGTTATAAGAACCGCATAACTAACAAGCAAAAGTTACTGCAGATATATGGCCATCATTTACCATTCTCACACCAATACATTTCTATTTTTCTTTTGAATTTCTCGAAACTGGAGCCCATACGCGACGAAAACTTAGTGCACACTTCCTGTATGCTTTTTTAGTGACCTTTGTAAATCCTTGCATCACACAGACGCATGGAGTTTGCTGATTTGATGCGGAAACTTTGGATGTCGAAGGTTTTAATGATGACTGCCCATGCCGTTTAAGACTGATCCGAATAAAATGCTATATTCGAAAGGCTCTAAAATTCTATTTGAGTCACTTCACAATTCTGGTGATTTTCTGCCGGCTTTGTTCTGTTTCTCTTCAGTGATAGCAAATGTGAAAAGTCAGCATTCATACTTCCCTAAGCTTTTAGATTATTGAGGTGTCTAGGGCTTATTAGGAACGAATATATACATTGTGTCTCTTAAAAAGTAATGCCCTTTTTTATCAGGCCTGAATGTCATCTACAGACGTCTTTTCCGAACCTTCAAAGTCTCGAGAATAGTCTGGTTGTTCCATAACACTTTTGATCCTTGTTTTTGAACAAGAGGCAAATGTTCAGATTAGTAGCTTGTACAATCTCACGAAAGTTTGCAGGTCCTTTCCAGTTAGAAGCACAGAAAATTTCTCCATAATAAGGCTTTTAAGATGAAAAATGTTGAGAAAATTGTCTCTCCGGATAATAAATATACGTTAAAAGTTGCCTAGGTATTGATGGAATATCAGACTTGTTACACCTCACCATCTACTCAAATTACATTTGTATTGCTTAGGTTACTTTGCTGAGCATTAATTTTTCCCGCTCTCTTTTTTACAAACCTCAAGAAAACACTTGCCTTTGTATCCTTTTCGCACCTTTTTGCAGCCGTTTTCTTTATGTTCAATTGAAATCGCTTAAAGGTTTGTGATTCTTGATAATTCGAGAATACATTGAGAATGGTTGGCTCGCCTGCGTAAGGGACGTTACCACCACAATTACACTACCTTCTCGTCCTTAGCAAAATTCTTACATAATCTAACCATTTCGAGCGCAATTTCTGCCACGTAACAAGTTGAAAAATCCGGCAGTGATTCCGACCACTCAAAATTCCAATGCTGCGCTTTAGTCTCGAATTTTTCAAAATGATCAAATAGAATTTCACTCATCTAACCGCTTTTAGCGGTGGAATTTAGATATGCAGTGATGTTAAACGATGGGCAAAACTTCCGCGCTGGACCGAACTCTAACCTGCATCTCACCCTGTCCGGGAG